TCATTACAGAAAATATCTAATCTGCTTTTGGTATTGCCCAAACTCCTTCTGTCTTACCTCCAACCAACACCCTACTCAGAGCTACACCAACTCTGGTGGACGTCGAGTAATCCCCAGCAGTGGACTTCTACCCCGGGCACATATGGAGTCTCCCTGGAAAGCACACAAGGGAACTAAAAATGCAGCAGCCTCTTGTTGAAGAGTTGTGTGCGCTGCACAGGGGCCTGCAAGCCCTTGGCAAAGACTCGTGGTGTCCACACATCTAAAAGGGTGAAGAAATCTGATAAGCAGCACATTCGGTTGATGTCACTTTTGCTCAGTTACGCATATGAAGGAGTATCCAAATGCAAGTATAACCACTTGGCCTTTCTCACTTTCAAAATAACTTAGGTTTCTTTTTATAGTAATTTTCATAAAAATAGTAACACCCAAAAAGAAAAAATAATTTTACTGTATTTTATTTGACATGGTTGAAGACACACAAACACTCAAGATACAATCCAGACAAGTTGTGAACAGCTCCAAACATCAGTGAAATCTGAATTTATCTTGCACAGAGGTGAACAAGACCACAATGGTTGGTTTTATAATATAGTTTAAGACTATTTCAAGCAGGTGAGTACTGTGACGTTATGCCCAACAACTTTTATACTATTCATCCGCTTAAGCCACTTCATATCATAAATATGCAGCTTACCTTGGCGATTAAATCTCTGCAATATATAATCAGCCTTCTCATAATAATGCATTAAAACTCCTGTATATAAATATTGGTATATTCATACCAATGTAAACTTTCCTAAGCATCACTGCACATTTATCATATTCTAGCACAATTAATCATTCTACCACAATTAGCTGCTAACTTTCAGCCTAGGGTTAAGTTAACTTGGACCCAAACTTGCAAGTTGCTGCTTAGAGCAAAACTTCTGCTAGGGCCTTCTGCTTTCCCTAAGGGTAGCAAGGCCTTGTCTTTTCAACATTAAGTTGCACAATGTCATCTGAAACCCCTCCCAAAAAATGCTCTGCAGGGAATCTCCTGCAAAAGTATCAGAACTACTATTCTAAAAATAACTCATTTCCTAATAAATTTCATATTAATTTTACAGCCTAACATCCTTTATCAAAACGGGCATCCACATGCCACTTACAATGTAAAGTTGTTTAACTGGGTTATAGACTACAGACCACAGCATAATATTCTACTTACAATTCTAATTCCTTAGAGAGACAAGCTAATTTTCCATTCTTAGATTTAAAAAGGGCAATGAGGACAGTTGGGAGTTTGTTCAGTAGTTCAGTGCTCTGCAAAGATAAGCTTGATAGTGCTCTCATCAGACTGAATGAGGAAGTGCAAAAATATGCAAACCACATTGTACAGTTACAGTAGAGTCATTTCAGCAACAAACCCCTGCTTGGATCCAGATGGAATCTTACAAAAGGCGAAGAAGAAAGGGCAGGGAATCGCTACTGTGCAGGAAGCTATGCTTCAGAAGAGCTGCAGAAACTACCCTCAGCATTCCCTGCAGACAGGCTGAAAACAGGATAAAAATCACGGGCCACCTGATCGTGCAGTTCGCCTCCTCTTCAGGGGAGAGAGGGGGTGGTTGCAGCCATTTATTAGACCAAATTCTGTGTTAACCTAAGGCCATGGGAAAACAAATCTCTGCAGAATTGGACCAATTCAGTTTAACATAGGATGCGAAGACACCAAAGCCTACTCTTCTTTAAGGATTTTGTCTTTTGGTAGGTGGTAGCGGTAGACAGAATCTGGGTCTTACCTGCATCTACAATAAATCAGTGTTGCCTGCCTTTGGAAGGTAGTTTCGTGTTTGTTTTTGGTTTTGTTTTTAAACTAGAGAAGATCCTTAATAAATCCCCAAAACCTAGTGAAGAAGCTGTATATCCAGATCATAGAACCTAATTTTTAACTTGGTTTTACAGGAGGATTCATCCATTATTATGATGAACTGCTGGAGATGGAATGGTCACCATTTGAAACAAAGAAACGAAAATCCCAGCAACATACTAGTGCATCTGTGTAATACGCTTAACTGGTATGACTTGCATTGCAGGAAGAATGTTGTATTCTCTGACACACCAACATTTCTTTCCTATTATTATAAGATCAGCCTTTTACATTTCATATCTTACCATCTTTAAAAGCCTATAATTACAGAAGCTGATTGAGAAACTATGTTATTTAAAATTAACAGCTGAATGAAATCAACAGAGGCAAAGAGCATTTTTATACAAGAAAATAGCACTGTAGAAAGAAAGAGTCTGTACAATATTTAAATATTGTATATACATAAAATTATATTGTTCATAACTCATCTTAAACTTTCTCTTGTTTGTAAACCATGGAAAGCAACACACAAAAAAATCCCAGTATTTAGCTTTTAAAGCATTTCGCAGGCAGCAGGAAACTGAATGCTAGCAAGCACACTTTGTAATTATAGAAAGTATCCAGCCGGATACTGTGACTAGCATTCTCCATAGTCCTTTTTTTTTTTTTTTTTAAAGCTGAATGCAGAACAGATTTCACATTCAACTAGGGAATTCTGCAGGAGACAGAGAAAACTCAATGGCAAAATGCAGTAGACCAGTTCTGCAGCTCTTTACTGTGACAAAACTCCAGGCTAAACACAGAAAGCTTAAGTGCAGACTTGGAACGTAAATTAGTGAAATAATTGATAAAGCTTTCATTTCCCAAAAGTCTCAGTAATGGATTTAACTCATGCTCAACTTATTACAAATGACGGTTTAGTTTAACAACTAACATTGCAAAGTTTCAAAAATGTCATGAATTCCAGCAGGTAATCAGGCAGCTCTGTATAAATGCTCTGAAAGTGTCAGCATTTTAGGGTGATTCTACAGGTTAGTATCAGTCTGCCAGTTTGGAGTGGGATTTGGATTTGAATCTGAAGCTGTCAGTTCATGGCAGATATAGATTGTAGGTAGCATTTTGCAAAATAAAAACTGTTCCAGTTGCAGAAGAAATTGTCCAGGTGAACGTGCTTAAGAAAACATTTCCAGAAAGTTATTATTTGGAAAACAAGATGCTACCATGACCATCATTGTATTTCACCTGCATGAGAGTTGTGTGCTCGTAGCCATGTAAGAAATGCTTTATTTAATGTTATTTGTAGTTTCATTCTCTTGGCTTCTGCCTTCCACTTTACTGGCCATTCAACTCAACCCAGAAATATATTTTACTCAATTAAAATGTAGGTTACTCAAAATATATTACGGTACTTTTGATCTAGACATTTTCTCTCTTGTAAGTTGTTTAAATCTTCCTGGACAGCCATCATCTAATTGTGCTTCCAAATCTTAACACAGGGATTAACAAGAAAAGAAATAGAATCACCTGGAGAAGTGCTTGATAAACCAGATGGGTCAGAGGGACCTCTACAGGCTGGAGAAATGTGCAGACAGGAACCTCACAAAGTTCAACAAAGGGAAGTGCAAAGTCCCGAACCTGGGGAGGAACAGCCCCACGCACCAGTATACGCTGCGGGCCAACGGGCTGGAAAGCAGCTTGGCAGAAAAAGACCTTGGGGTCTTGGTAGACACAAAGTTAAGCATCAGCCGGCAATGTGCCCTTGCAACAAAGAATGCCAATAGCCTCCTGGGCTGCATTAGGAAGAGCATTGCCAGCAGGTCAAGGAAAGTGATTAGTCCCCTTTATTCCGCCATGGTGAGACTACATCTGGAGTGCCGGGTCCAGTTCTATGCTTCTCAGTACGAGAGAGACATGGACATACTGGACTGATCCCAGCAAAGCGTCATGAAGATGATTAAGGGATTGGAATATCTGCCATGTGAGGAGAGGCTGAGACATCTGAGACTGTTTAGACTCGACAAGGCTCAGGAGATGCTAGGAATATGTATAAATGCCTGATAGAAGACAGTAAAAAAGGTGGAGCCAGACTTCTCAGAGGTATCCAGTGAAGGAACAAGAGGCAACAGTCACAAATGGAAACTCAAGAAGTTCCTTTTAAACGTAAGAAAAAACTTTTTTTGCAGTGAGGGTTGTCAAATACTGGAACAGGTGGCCCAGAGAAGTTTAGGCATCTCCATCTTTGGAGATATTCAAAACGGGACAGAGTATCCTGCTCTAGCTGACACTGCTTAGAGCTGAGAGCTTGGACCAGATAGTCAATGGATGTCACCTCCAACCTCAACTATTCCGTGATTCTGTGATTTCTGATAGAGACTAATAAAAATAAGTTTAGAAGAGAAACAGATTTGTTCTTAATAGTTTTCCAAAGTATAATGAGGGTAATGCCAGCTATTTTTTCCAACAGCTAGTTCTGAGAGCTGTGACAATAAAGACCTTGTTTTCAAACTGGATCAATATGAGGCTCCTAAACAAACAAACAAACAAACAAATTATTCCTAAATCTAATTTTAAGGATTTCTGAGGATTTTCTTTTCAGTGGGATCTCAGAATTTAAGAAACTCAGGTCCCATTTCTTTAAGTCATTGATCTTCAGCACTTAAAATTTTGAAAGCAGAGGGCAAAATCAAAAGAACAAAAGAATATTATAGACTACTAATTTGTTCCCATTGCCGGAGGATGGTGCTATTTAAACAGACACCCCACACAGATACACCCCCTACAACAACCACGTGGGTCAGTGAGTTTTTCTTGGGAGGAAGAGGAAGAAGAAGAACAAGGCAAAGAGATTACAATTTTACATCTTTATAACTGATCTTCAGGACCCAACAATAATCAGGATTTATCTAATAAAGGTAGATCTTTAAGCATGCTTGAGTAACTTGGGAACTTTTACTACCTCTGGATCTTTTGCTCCCAAAACTTTTTAAGGGTCTTTCAAAATCCAGTCTTTGGTCATCAAAGGGCACAAACATGACACACCCCACCTTACTAGCTGTTCTCATATAGCCTGCTGAAATTCACGTTGATTACATGACACATGAAAGTAAAAAAATGGAATAGTGGAAGATCAGTCTCACAAACAGGCTGTGGTGGGGAAAATGGGCTGTTAGTAGTTTAAGAAATCAATACCAACTTTGACACTTTTAGAGGTGGCAACATCAATGGCCATGGCTTTGATTTCAGTGTCCCCAAACTGCATAAGTGTTTTGATCTCCCGCCGGTTTGGCACTGAAGCATCAGTTCCCGTGAGATCCAAGCGAAGCGTGCCACACTTTTTTACTCCAGATTCGGTGATGAAGCTGACATTATCTTGTTCTGAGCTATAGATATTGATCACTATTACTAACTGAGAAGGTTTGGCAGGTGTGTAACTGCGTGTCACAGTTTCTCCGAGGGCTACAGATTGGTCGGCTGAGATAAATTTGTCAAAGACATCAGTGCACCAGCGTGTGCCATCTTTGATTAGAAGCTTCTCTGGTGGATGCTTCCCTTCCACAAACCGATTGAGCACACCCACACCGTAGGTGAGAGGTGAACGCCGCACTTTGATGACAGCAGGGTCTAGACCAAAGAGAACAGCTCCTTTGAGGATAGTGAGCCCCACATCCTGAGGAATGATGACTCGACATCTCGAACCAAAAGCACTCTGGACAGCTTGTTGGAGTAAGGGGGATTCAGCGAAGCCACCCACCAGGAACAGAAACTTGACATTGGTCACTTCTGGCTTATCAAACACATCACCTAAACAGAAACAGAGCCCATTCAATAGCGAAAAATCCACTGCGACAAGGCAATGCAGGTCAAACTCCTAATGTCTGAGTGCACTGAATGTCCCACGCGCATGCACAAGATCTGAAACTGCCACATCTATGCCCCCCCCGCCACTCTCAGCATGCACTAGTTCCACTTCTGCAGACTCTTCTATACTCTGTTTCACTGTGAATGGAAACTTACCTCAAAGCATACAATATTTCTAAAGTGGCACTTGAAACAGAATTTTTATTTAGCTTCTACCAGTAAAGGGAGACATGGATTTCTTGCAAAGAAATCCTGGCAGTCACATTATGGGTGGTAGGGAAACAGACATCATCTTGCCACTTCAAGTATCAGTGAGATATTCCCAAACCTAACTGATTCACATACCCTTTACTGCATTCCAGATAATTCACCCCATTTTAAATTCACTTGTTATTTCTGAGCCTAACTTCTTAACCACGGTATGTACCATCTGCAAAATAATACCTCCTTACATTTCTACAGATGTTCCTTCTTAGATTAAGCCCACATCCCCTACTTTCAAGAAAATCACACAGTTCAGTTGTAGGCTCACCCTTAGTTCAAATAACCGAGGCAGCATGACTGAGGTTTCTATCACAACTATTGTAATTCTAGACCTCTACCTCCCTGCTCACATAGACAGCTAGAACAGAACAGCTTATAAGTTGTGACCTCTCAAAATTTATCTAATAATTCCTCGCATATAGTGAATAAAGCTGGATATTCCACTCCAAATACAATTCAATTAGTGCTTTGTAACGTGTAGAACAGCAATACTTTGCTCACTACATATATTATACTCTACTTGATACAAATCCAATCTTTCACCAGGAATACTTTAAATAATAAATTTTCCAATAAGCCTATGTCACTTCCCATTACTGGATAAATAAATTCAGTCTTGCTTAAGCCATGCCTGGAAGTACTTTTACCATGATGCATCATTTATTATTTGTGGTTTAGAGATGTCAGTGATTTGGACGGTCATGAACAAATGTGACTTTATAAGTTCTTCCACTGAGCAGAAATGAACTAGAGGTCTTAATAAGAGGAATAATTAGAAACTAGTTACATCTCTGGCGTTATTTAGTTGTTGCCTGCAACAGGAAAAAGAAAAGCAGGATCTGGGTTAGTCACTGCACTTCAGTCTTCTGAACGCTTGCATCCCTGGAAGTACAGAATAATCAAAAGCTTAGGCAGTAACAGGACTGAATCACACTCAATGTGTGATGTCCTTTACTTTTATTATTTTCCTAACTACTTTGTAGAGAACTACAAGTTTCAGAACTGAATTCCCTGCCCACATTTGGTGCGTACTAGGGGAGCTGTTTGACTTTAATTCCAGTTACGGGTTTGAAACAGGTAAGCAAAGCGGCAGTTTCAGCTCATCCGGGAAGCGGTATTACACATAGATACGTACTAAGGTGCTGAACAATCTGGTCAATTGTAGGTTTGAAAAGAGCATTCATTGCATCCGGGCTCATCCTCAGCATTCCCTGGGAGGACCACTTCACAAAGTCCACACTGGAAAAGAATAGTTAGAAAGGACATTAAAACAGTACAGCTGAGCTGTAAGAAACAGCCAAGCACTCACAAGATGCAGTAAATAAATAAATGAATGAGTTTACAGAATCTGCATGCATTTTGCTTGCAAGAAAGTGCCTCACCTCACCCTAGCCCCATACCAACTGCAGCAATGTAAAATTTCAAGGGAGAATTTTTGCTTGTCTAATTGTTGTTTTCTTTGCCTGATTGCCTTCTGTAGCATTACCAATGCTCAGCTGCTTCCTGAAACAGCTGGCAGTCAATCCAGTGCTCGCTCATCTGAAACAGCACTGCTTCATCCCCAGAAGGACAACATTTAGATTACAGGAGCAGCAGGCCAAAGCCACTGGAAACACACAAGGAAAACAAGCAAGTATGGGAAGCCTCAGGAGGCAGAAGGGAGCACAGCATTTTTAATGAGGCATAACATTTGTTAAGTGAATACAGGCATTATGTTATTCCATCACTGATGCACATCCATAGAGCTCAGTAATCTCCTTTTCATTCATGCACATTACATGTCACCTTTATACTCTTTCTATCCCATTATCCAATTAATTTCATTTTATTTGAAGCGAACATTTAGCACTCCCTCTAAGATTCACCATTAAGACTATTAATAAGAAGGAGATGGCCTTGTGAGGGGGAATATTTCCAGAAATTTTTAATGATTTCAGAACCTCAGTCTCATTTAGGAAATGACTCCGAGCTGGATTCCAAGTCATTTAGGCTTAAAGTAGATTTACCAATAACTTTAGGAAAAGATGCAGGAGTTTCAGCCTGCATGCTACATTCAACATTCCCTGGATTAAACAACACAGAAAGAAGCCAAGGTACAGGTACTATAAGTATCATGTCTTCTGCTCTCCGGTCCCAAGCGTTCTGCCCCACATTCGCAGGCTCTCTTGTTCTTTCTCTTTGATGCTATTAATCTCCAGGTGGCCTGTAGTATATAGCTTCAAAAGATGCAAAATGCCCACTTCTACTTTCTCCCCCCTTCCTTTTCTGTAGCAGCCTGCGACCTTGTCATTTAGGGTTCTTTCCTGATACTTACAATCAGGAATTAAAACCTCTGCAGGGAATTATGTCTCCCCGTCTACTGAGCAAATGATCTAACTCTAACATACCATGAGAAAAGAAAGCCTGCCATTACTTCAAAAGAAGAATGCTCTCCTCTTGCAGAGCTCTATGCAATAGTCTATGTTTTCACTGGTGATCTGGTATTGTTCATAACTTTCCTCAAGTCATGAATATACTTACACATCTCACTCAAGACCCTGGGTTTGTTCCAGGGCCCAGGCCTCTAAAAATTAAGGTTTTAGGTAACTAAATTTTAGACATCAAATTCTGTGTTTGATCCAACCTTCCTAATTAACATGTAAGAGACTCAAAATATATGGTCCAATTCAGGAAAGTGATGCAGTGGTGGCCTAACGAAAGTCATAGAAAACAATATCAGGAGAGTGCAAGTCTTGTATAGAAAAGCTTTTGCAAGAGTTTGATCAGAACTCTTCATTCTGGAAACTGCACTTCAGGCAATCCCGTTTTCTCATCCTTATATTACATTTTTACGTTATTATCTTTCAGTCTACATATAATTAGGGTATTTTAATTATTTGTCTTTGCTATCAGTAGTTAATTCTGCATGCATTTGGGTTCAATCATCTACTCACTTGCTTTTCCTCAAGGCATGTTCTACACTGTGACCTCGAAACTTCTTATAATAGTCAATGAAGGAGAAAGGCAGAGTGATGTTTAGTGGATTGGTCCTGTCTGGAGCTGCTGCCCGTTTACGGGACTCAAACGCTATCATCAGATCTACCCAGGCAGCAGGACGCTTGATTTTAAATTGCTCAATAAAATCTTCTCCAAATATTTTACACAGGAGCTTTTCAAATTCATAGTCCACACCTAGAGAACCGTATGGTCCACCTGTATTACAAACAAAACACAGCTTTAATATTCTGAACTGCTTACTAGATTTCAAGTTGACCAAATACACATCAGATTGACACTACTAGGACTGCCATAGGAGAAGGTCTACAGAAAGAGGTATCTTTTCTAAATATAACAGTTGGTCTAATACACAACATGATCTTACCTTTGCTTCACTTTTACTCCTATACCATCATAGCCACTGTAACATTACCACTATAAAACAGAAACATGTTTATTAGAAGCAAAGGAAGCTGCCTCCTTATCCACACATGAGAAGGCGTGAGTTGGACTCACATTCAGGAGTGGATAGACTTGATGTACAGCGTCCCATTTGCTCTTACTGGGTTGTTTCCTGAGGTAGTCTTACAGCCACCAAGGCTGAGAACGCTCAGTGATGAACCATACAGATGAAGACTAAAACAGTATGGAGACACAGGAACAAATAATAGGCTGTCTCATGTGGGTAACAGCTTAGTCACGGGACAAAGTCAAAGGGGATCCGGAGTTCAGGAAGGGAATACCATTCAAGGAATTGCACTTTATATCTTTGTTGTGGATCAATCATTGTGCATTTTTCCTAGCGGATTGCAGACCCTCCTTGTTACACTGTCTGTGAAAGCTTCCCCTTAAATCTAGGGAAACTTCTGTTCAGCCACAGTCACTGTACAAGGACCGTGTTGTGACACTCAGCTATTCATATCTCCACAGTATGTCTCTGAATACCTGGGCAGAGCAGCAATGCACAGGTGACCTCTCAAAGGACAGGAAGATGACGACTCTACTATCAGAAGTCAGACCAGGACCATGGCAGGAGGTCGTGGCCTGAATGGGAGTGAATAACACAGGAGATGGCCGTTCCTTACCCTTCCAACGTGAGTTTTACCAGCCCAAAGCGTCAGAAGCGTTAAGTGATTTACCCTTGTCTGCTGACCAGCACCTAGGTTATACTCATTTTGAACGCTGGTCTTATTTCAGGAAGAACTGTTAGTCAAATGCAGCGAATGATAAAGGCATACATTTCCTTCACTGACAAGTAAAAATATTACATAAATAAAGCAAGCAGTGGAAGTGACATACCTGTTGCCTTGTATAGCTCCTTAAGATGTCCTTCAGGGAGCCTTATCTGATGGACAGTCATATCCACTGTGCCTCCTCCACTGTCAACAACGATGTAACGGTCACCTAGTTTGCCAAAGGAATAGGCAAATGGTATTTATGGTAACATTATCACCACAGCGTATTGCAACGAAAACTTCTCAGAGGCATTATCATCATGAGAGATAATGACTTACAGAAAGCCATGAATGCCTATGCTAAAGACTTGATCTTTTTTTGTAATTATAATGCAATGATTGACAATAAATATGAAAATCAGATGTCAAAAGCTATTGACTTAGCACAGTTGAAAAGCAGTTTAGTAGAATTGCTCATGCTGCTAGCATACATCCTAGGACGTTACCAAATTAATACTATGGCATATTTACAAGGCCTGTTCCGAGGAAAAAATTCTGGTTGCATTTTAACAGCTGGATTCCTTTCTACCATCTCCTTAATAAGCTGTATTTTGCTAGAGCATACAGAATAGCAGTTCAGCCTTAGTAACTAAGAGCAGCACATGAACTTGTATTTTTTTCTTTTCCTATTTATAATCACTGTGAGAACACTGCAGTGCACAGCACATTTGTGGGAAACACAATGTTTGCCTGCAATATAGAACCAGTGAGAGCAAAGTTTATTCAAGAAAGGACACTACCTTCCTCCAGTTCGGACCAGATCTCTCCTATGACATTTTCCACCAAAAAGGTACGACTCTGTCGATTACGACGGACGTGTTCCTTAGCTAGTCATTGACAGAGAAAAAATTACCAAGTATAAGAAAGCATGAAGAAGCTGATATATCGTAAGCTGCAGGAAACGAGTGCAAGCGGGCTGACAGATCTGTCTGTATCACTTCTTAACAAAACAAACGAAAAAAAATTATTGCATTATAATCGGGAACATTATAACATTGTTCCTAGAAAGAAGGAAAAATGTTTTTCAGCCACACTGATCTTCCTCGATAGTAACTGAATTACAACCAATAACCTAACACAAAAGCTATAAACAGGTCTCATTTACTTTTTTTTATATTCTGTTTTTTAAAGCACCGCCAGGAACGGGGAAAGCTTGCAGCCAACTGTGCTCAGCACAACCTCTGCCACAGTGGCAGCCCCGGCCTGCTACCAGACCAACAATCCCCACGTTTCCAAAAGCCACTTCTGACTTTGGGTGCTCAGGCAAAGATGCCTCCCGAGCCTTTCAGGATGTTGGTCTGTCTCAAAACAAGCAGCCAAAAGCACTGCTTCTCAGATTTATAACTTCTTACGGCCACAGTGATCACCAAGTCTGACCCTCATAATATTTTAAATATACACCAATTAAAAATTAAGCATAATCTGGCAATGCTATTATAACAATAAGTTAACTTACAAGACTTAATTGCTACTTAGACATTTAAAAGAGGCAGAACAGCCTGTAGGAGAAAGCAGAGTAGTGAGAGCCTTTGCTGTTATGCTTCTTAATCAACCCCTACAACTGAAAGATCAAAAAATCATCCCCTCCCCATAAAGACCCTGTGATGCAGACAAGCCGCGTCAGCCTCACTGTGCTGACTTAGCAGCACACAGTGAGAGCTTCAACGACGAAGCATTCAATGACAGAACAAGCACTAGGTCCAAGCAAGGGCCTGACACAGAGCCCACAGAAGTCAACAGGAGTCCTTTCATTCACTCCTGTGGGCTAGAAGTGAACACAAGAGGCAGTCTTTAACTACGACTGAAGTAAGGTTATCCTGGCTGCTATGAACAGTAAAATTTTTGTTTTGATTTCACAGCAATAATATGGTCCTTGGAGTGCTTCTCTCTGTTTACATTTAAAGGGTTTTTCTCCTTAATCTGTTCTCAGCTTGTCTTGGGTGCCTGCCATGCCTTTATGAAATTTTAATTCTAACCCCAAATTAATTCACTCCAAACTTTGTTTTCATTAATTTTGACATGAAATCTTTCTCATCCCCAATAGCTTTTACCATACAAAGTCAAGAAGGAGAATGGTACCCCCATCCAAGAAAAAGCCCGCTAGCAGAAATCCGTGATCTGCCAGATTCTGCCCAGCTTCAAAACCTTAACCAGAGAAACTCTCTTCTTTTATTATTTTCTCAGAGGCAAATCCCTGTGTAGCCTGAAAGTGAGTTCATGTAAAATCGCACGGAACTGGAATGGTTCAGGACACGAATGAGGGGGACAGAAGGCGAGGAGCCCCTGAAGGGACTGTGTCCTGAAAATGGATTGTGTCCTGTGCTGGGCCTCCATAACACTGAACACATCTGACAAGTGCTGGCTAGGAGAGGCACAGATAGGAGAGAATGACTCCGCCTAACTAAAAAAAACCCCATACCCTCCAGTAAATAGAGGAATAGCTTTGCTAGCTTAATCTTCCACTTTCCTGTACTGTTTTGACCTAGTAAATGTGATAAAATACAAATTCTTCTGATAAATTCCTTCTGGGATAGACTGGTACACTACCACCAATCAGTGCAACTGTTACAGTTCACACAGATGGGAAACGTGTGCGTTATGCAGCAATCACATCTTACTGCTGCTTCGTTTTCCTGTTGTTTTTTTCTCTCCTATTTTCCTCCAATCTCAGGTAGGATACCAAGCTCAAAAATCTTTGGTGACGAAGGATCTTTTGGCAAGTGACTTACACTGTGGACCAATCTCTGTCCTTCATTGTAAATCAGTCTTCAAACATTGATATTAGCAACAGACCCCAGGTCAATAAATCAGAAGTGCTGTATCTAGTTGCTCTTCTACAAGCAGATAAATTCATTGTTATATTCCAATACCGTGTGTTCCCCTAAGTGTTGAAAGTAATTAATGATATTTCATAAAGATGACATCAAAAAGCATCTGCCAAAACTCTGGAACACCTCAAAGTCTCACTGCAGATCCAGTTATTTAACACTGCTTCAATAATGCAGCTAAGTGAACGCGTAATTGTTTCCAACAAATTAAATTAAAAAAAAGATCCAACACGAAGTATTGATTTTAATTAAGGCAGAAAAATACTGTTGTGAAAATACTAAAAGCCTCCCACAACATCCCAATAAAGACAAGGCAATGAAGCTACCTGTGTGCTAAAATTCAAGTGTGTGCAAACATGTCTGCTGGATCAATGCCTTAACTAGTCTAATTACACTAAACAGCAAAACAGTTTATAAAAGCAAACTGATGCTAGCCTGAAACATTTAGAGAGAACGAAGACAACAAGAAATGGTAAGAAAACAGCCCTCATGGCCAAAGCAAACTTAGGCATAAGAATCTAAAGAAGTGAGTTAATAGAAGCAGTACCCTGTGTAAATCCAGTTCCAATAGTGTCACTTGGGCTATAACCATTGACAGGCGCCCTACTACTCAGGTCTATCATCTGGTGCAGACGGAGCTTTCGGCAGTAGATAGAGGCAGCCTCGGGTTCCAGGGCAATGATCAACTGCTCGGGATTTTCAGGAGATGCCATTCCTGCCTGCGAGAGAGAATCGATCAGAGAAGTGGGGTGGGAAATACCGCAACCTAGCAGACCCTTTTCAGCAAGTGAACAAGCCTCCTTTCCCCAGCTCGCGGTTTCAGTCAGGTCAGCCCTCCAAGTTTAATGCGCAAAGGAGCTGCTGCCATTGGCTAAAGGTCTTGACCTGGGAATCGTCCTGCCCACAATCTATAGCACAACTTCACAGGCTGTAACAGGGAAGTATGCATGCACTTACCATGCTAAGTGTCTAACCGAGCAGCTGCGTACATGACAGGTGGAGAAAGGAGGAAAGTCACTTTGAAACCTGTGATGAATGGCCTAAAACCTGAACTCCTAATTAACCTGTGAATCTGCATGCTAAGAGGGGCCCCAGTCCACTTTAAAAAATGAAGGAATACCTTTGGCCTCTCCTCCCCACAATGATATTTTAAGTACGTCTTTCTCTATATCCCAGATATATATAGTCCTTGCTGAAATGGACCCTCCCCACACTGTGTAGCTTACTAGGAATATACAATACACTTTGCCAGTAATACATCTTTTGACTTAAACCCAACATTTTCTATTTCAAAATCCACTGCTTTTAAGTACATTCACCTTTATAACATCTTCAAAATTCTCAGTTTATTCAAGGACTCAAAACACAATAGGGCAGGTTCCCTAAAATGTAATGGGAACAAGCCTAAAAATAATCCCACATTATAAAAATGAACATTTGCCATTCTTTCTATTCCCTTCTGGATTTTAAGCCTCCAGACACAGAGATTTTCAAGAAGCCACAAGTTCTCATGTAACCACGTCACTCTCAGAGCTGGACTTAGAGAAAAATATGAAAGAGCAGTTGACAAAATTGTGTTTTCATTTCTTTTCTCCTGTACTTCTCCCTACCATATGATTTTCTGTTAAAGTAGATAAAAATACCTTTAAACTCTTTCTGCTCAACTTTTGGTTAACCTGCTGTTGTTTTTCGGTTAAGTGCCTAAATACTAATGCATGCTAGCAAACAAATAAATGTATGAATATTTTTCTGCTTCCACGGTCAGTCTTCCAGCAAACCTTCACTTCAACTCATACACACGCACTGTGGTGGCTCCAGAGCATCCTCAAAAGAAGGCAGACTCACATGGAAAGACTGCGGACCTGGACTGGAATTTGGCTTCCTTCATACAGCCACGCTGTGGGCTGTGGGAATTGCTGGCTAGTTTACACCTGCAGCTAGAAACTCAAAATGAAGCCTGTTCAAAAAGCAATGCTCGGGTAAGACTTGGAGACATAAAATGGTCCTTCGCATTTACTGACTCATTTTACCCTCTCCATCTTAATAAATAAGATAAATAGATTTTTATAGAAAGAATCTTCCTCATTGTTGATAACAAAAAAGGAAAAACAACAACAAATAAATTCCAAAGTAAGGGTTAAACTAATCATGGTTGCTCATTATTTTAAAAGCACACCTCATGACTGGGATTATGGCCGCTTTACATCCTTTACTATTAAAAGATATAAAAAGACTATCAATCAAGCACAGGTCCGAGCCAGACTCTCCTGCCATCATACCGCTTGCATGCAAGCATGTTGGCAGGCACAGGCTTAGATAAAGCTCTGGAGCTGTACTGGGGATGAAGTTCTCACGTTGTGCCTTAGTACAAACCCAAGCTTTCCTCCAACCGGTCTGGATGTACTAGGCACAAGCAGGGCTGGTTTCATGTCAGCTCACTTCAACATCACGTATCTCCAGCTGAGCTCTTCTACACACGAAGCTTTAATTTGTTGCATTAGAAAGGGCAACATTCAAGATATGAATCAATACTTGGTCCCTGACAGATACTTATCTAATCTGCTAAAGAATTCAAAAAACGTATGGCCTCTGCACACAAACTATCTCAGCCCTTTACTGTCTTTGCCTTTGGAAAGTTTTGCTAAAAGCCTCACCTGAATCTTTCTTGCTGCAATTTTAAGACCAGCACTTCTTGCTCTATCTAATAAGGGCACGGAGAACAAATAGCTCCCTACTACCCTGCTGCAGTTTTCACATACCTTAAAACCATTATCATGTCCTGTGAGAGCTCTGGATCTGAGCAGCAAGTCTTTTCTTTTAATATCCAGCAATGTGGATGAACTTACGAGTACTCAGTCTGCTCCATGGACTGGGCATATGTTAGTAGCATGGACAAAGCAATTTTTAGTCTCATGTCTAACCTACCCACTAAAGAGAAAATTATATTTTAGGGAAAAAAACAGTTTGTTGCTAAAGGTATTAAAATCGAAAAAAATTGGTATTAAAAAGGTATTAAAATCGAAAAAAATTGTATTAATTGCAAAGTCTAGGGGGGATTTTGGTACAAATTTCCAAGGCTGGTTCTGCAAAAAGAAAACAGTAAACCAATAACAATAACACTTGCTTCCTCCCCTCCTCCAGCAGTGGTCTGTACCATGAACTTTTCACATTGCAGCCTGCACATCAGGAGAGGAAGGCAGTGACCTGCAGCGGATGGACTCAGACCCATGTCCTCAGACCCTCCAAGTACAGTGGGTGCTATTCTTGCTATTTTTTCTCTCTAGATATTATTTTAATACACTCAAAATATGTCCTGAGGGAACCATTCAACAGAAATGACAGTTTGTAACAGTTCAAAGCACAGCTGATCCTAACAGAATTTCATGAAGAAAATGTTGGGGTTTTCTGTTAAAAAGCTTTCCTTACAGAGGTTGAAGGGCCAGTTACAACAAAGAATGTGTTATTTCACATCATAAAAAGACCATACAAGAACCTTGTACAGTGAAAGGTACTAGGCATCCAACATATATATATTTTTATATGCACATATACATATATATGTACACATATATGTATGGATCAATACTGACTTTATTTCATACCTTGTGTATGCAGTATTTCTACTTAGATCACCAGAGATAATACTGTACATATACATATCTACACACAGCACAGAGAGAATGGGGGAAGGGGAGATGAGAAAGAAACATGAACACATACATACTGCTGGGGAGGAATGGAGTAATGAGGTTGCTTTAATACAAGTTCTGAGAAGATGAAGACTTAGGAGGCAGTACCTCTGTCTCAGCATTACAGCTGAGGAGAAAGGGACAGATGGGGAGAACAATATCGAGCATGCAGAGAAAGAGGAGTGAAAACAGCAGGCGGTTAACATAAAGAAACAGTGACGCATACACTAACAATATTAACTGTAGAAATGTGGGAATTTGCTATATTTTACATGTTTTCCTTTCTATCTGCCTCACTCCATGCCCTCGCCCACTGCTGCCCAAGTACTACTGTAACTAAGAACAGAGATTCAGAAGTTAATGGGCTTGAACGGGACAGATCTAAACAATGTCTCTGCATTCAACATTATATAGATCATTCTGGCAGTGGGACAGATGCATCACGTTGCTTTTGCCTAGGGCAGCTTATAGCAGACTTTATAACAGAGCCGTTATCTTGCCTCTGGTCTGGTAAGGAGATTTTCTTTCTCGCATTATACTCGCTAACAGTATAAACCCAGTCATCACTTAGGAACCATGAAGGAAGCAGACAGAGGTTTTCCCAAAAATGCAAAATGTGGAAAACCCATCAGGGAATTACAAAAGTCCTTTGAGCATCAGAAAGTTCTTAAAAATGAATTTCTTTGCAGGACATTGCTGCATTTATATACCTGGAAGAAGCACAGAACACAATGAAGAGAACTGCTTTAGAAAACTGCCCAAGCTCACTTTGCTCATCTGCCTGAGCACCAGAATTTCATGCTTTGACAAGGGAACTGCCAGATTTTCTCTCACTCTGGTAAAACAGGTCTGTGAGCTGGTACCAGTGCGTTGCTGTTCATGAGCCAAGATGCATCATCGACAGCAAACCTCAGAGTGCTTCAAAGCCTCAAGTACTGGGGCACAAATAACTTTACCATCCAGTTGCAGGTGAATTCTCAACCTGGCGCACTAGCTCTGCTTTTACAGCCAGCGACGTGTCACCAGATGAGAGCCACAGCTGACCACAAATACATTCTTGATTCCCTGAACCACATCAGCTGCCAAGTGTTAGACTAATTCAACATTAGCAAATATTGAGGCCTGGACTGTAGCTCAGTACAGCAGTCTAAGTATTTCCAGAGAACCAAATGATACTCACTCATTCCATGCGCAGAATCATCACTACTACAGATTAAAAGATAATATGTTTAAAACCCAGCCTCACGTGCCATGATGCACAATGAAAAAAGCAATGCACTTTTATTTTTTTAAAATATTGTAACGTATATGGCCTTAAAGACAGCACTATAGTAGAATATTCCATGTAGTTTGAGCCCTTTTAAAAGGCAATGAAAGCCACGAGGTAGGCCTAGAAGAAAAGCTCCCATCTCTGAAAGCCACCATAATTAGAAGCATCAGCACTTAGCTGGAGCACTCCTGTATTTCATAACACAGCCAGACAGAACGCTGTTGCTCTATCAGGCTTTATTCACTACACCACGGTGAGCTCAAAAGGAATAGCTTATTAGGAAATACGCCATCATTGACAAGGTACACGTTTCCTATTACTATCCCTTCAAACTACTGAAAGCAGAAGTTAGATCTCCTTTTTTGCTTTTTCAGAGAGATACATCAGGCATCTTTTTACAGGCAAACAAACAAAAAAAAAAAGCCTGACCACTGACTCGTAACACAAGGAAAATGCCTTACATGGAATGCACCCATTTTGAGCTACTGATTAAAAGAACTGATACTAAGGTCTTAAGTAGTGAAAAAAAAACCAAACCAACCACGTACAGAAATTAGTTCTCCATACGTTGAATTTCAGACACTGATTTATTATTAGAATTCTGTGTTAACTGGAGTCAGCCGTGTACATTTTGTATTCGTCTTTATTTCCTTGAGCTTCACCTGCCTGGAAAAACTCTCTTTCATCTACACACATTTCCTCTTCACTCAAAAAACTTTCAAGTCAAACTTGTGTTCTGAATACTAGAACTTCTGAAATC